TTTAATAGAAGAAAGTATTCTTGTGTTGAGGGAGTACTTGAGTGGAGGCATCAGTCCTTTTTCTAACTGGGGATTATAGGTATTAATTTATGTCTAGTCTGAATATTTCTACGATATCTATTTCCCATATTTCTCTTAGGGATCTGTATCATATTTCATATGAGTGGTTGTGATACACAAACCATAATTAATTACAATGGCAGCACAACATACGGACTCTTCCAGATCAGCAATAAATTTTGGTGCAGGGACGACCAGTTCCCTCAGTCATGGGACATCTGTGACATCGCCTGTGACAGTGAGTAGCTGCTTTTGCCTGTTCCTGTTTTTCTGGAGCTTGTCCCTCGGACATTTTATTTTCTGTGTCAAGCACATCTCTTGCCTCACTGTCTTGGCTGGATTCCACATCAATGGTGGAACTTGAATGGGTAGTGCTGGGTAAAAAGCTGTCAGAATCTTTCACAATGACCAAATCCCAGACAGTTCCCTGAATTCAGGGATAGGCAATCCAAGCTTGCTGGGAGAACTAACCCTGACGTGTAAGGAATTTTTAAATCAAAGCAGTTGATTACTCTTTCAGAGACTTGCCACTTACACGGAAAGAATTTCTAACCAGAAGGAAGCTTCGGCCTTCTCATTTAGTAAGAAAACAGGCATGAGGTTTAAGTTCAGAGAAGAGTCAGACCTACTGGATCTAGGGAAGAAGAGAACTCATCACCGTTCTGTATAATACTTCTTAGCTCTTTTATTCTTTCCTCTGAAACTTCCATTAGACTTCCTGAATGATGACTTATCTGATGACATACAGTGTGTCAAGAAGATTCTGGACAGTGAAGGGATTGGCTACTGGTAAATTCCATTTTATTTTTAGCCCCCTCTGCCCTCCTCTTCCTCACCCCTTTATCCCTGGCACCATTCACCTTTTTCTTTCGTTCAGTCTGTCCTTTGTTCTAGAATATAGCTTCCAAAAGAGAATTCATTGAATAGATTTAGGTCTTCCTGTTGTCCCTTTTCTTTTTAACATTTAAATCATTTTATTGGAGGTGCTTACAGATATTATAACAATCCATAATCAATTATATCAAGCAAACTTGTACATATGTTGCCATCGTCGTTTTCAAAACATCATCTTTCTACTTGAGCCCTTATTATCAAGATCTTCCTTTCTTAAGTCTCCACGGAACTCTTCTTGTCTAGCGCCTTTCTTAATAAAGGGTTCCCTAGAGGAGGTTTGATATTCAGTCCTCTGTTCACCTGGCCTTGAAAGTCTAATTCCACTTGTTTTGTTCTACACCCTAAAATAATCAAATTTTTATTTTTATCCCTACAATTTGCTTGACTTTGAGTGTATAGATCTTATCTCTTGTCATCTAGCTGGGAACGTGTTCCTATAATTTTCATTTGCACTCTGACCCCCAGTCCTCCAGGTAATAGAGCTGAATGGAAATTTGGGTTAAACACTAACTTTGTCTCCTTTTCTATTACCAGGCCAGCCTATAAACCTCTCTGCTCTGACAACTTGGAACAGTGGCTCTGCAAGTCATGAGCGCCTGCCGCCCTGGCTGCTGTTCTTGGACATTATCTCAGTTTCCTTCCTTTTACCTCCCCAAAGCAGACTTGTCTCTGAGCCTTAGGCCCTACAGTGACACCACTGGACTTTGAGGACTAGTCTCCAGGGACGTATGACTGGTGCATTGGGATTTAGTCCCTTGATCAATGCCTTTGATGGAACTTTGTCTGCAGAAGTGGATTCCACTCAGACCTGAATAAACGGTCTGACTTTGAGGGGCTGGCTGCATTTACTTATTTTCTGGAGGCAAAGTGAGTAAACAGAGTGGATGAGTAGACACTGGGCTCATAGGTCATAGACACCTCTTCTCTCTGCTGGAGGGAAAGTTGCTGTCATTATAAGAGAAAATGGGGTTACTTTCAGTAGCAATTTGATTCAGCAAACTTTTAATGATCTCTTAATAAAATAAACAAAAAATGATCGAGGGAATCCAAGTCAGCTAAAAGAGACTCTTCTCTTAAAAATTAGTAGCAAAAATAAATATTAATAAAATAGTTATTAGAAAAGTATGCTTTGTCCTTGAAAGAGGTTAAAAATGTGTCCCGCTCATTTTGAAGAGGAAAGACCACTTACATTTGGCATGCCA